TGGAGCTTGAGTCTTGTGAGTTCGATTTGGTCCCTCTTTTGGCTCCAATAAAAGTGTGAAACTTTAATTGTGTATTATAAATATGCCCTTTAATGGCACATTTGGAATGGATTAAGGATTTAGCCATTTTTCATTTTCCCAAAAGAAAGTAGAGGCACCTAAGGAGCACAAGGGAGAAGATCTAAGGGAGGAAGCATTTGGCTATGCCATTAAAAGCTCCTTCAAGGTTATCATCTCACCTTTATGTGTGAGGATTTAAATAAAAATATCATATGATCTCAAGGTGATCTAAGATCCACCATGCATTTGGGCTTAATCTTCGAAGGAAAATTAATTTCTTATTGTGATGATTAAATTTCCACATCCAACCAATGGTATCAGAGCCATGGTTATTGAAAACCTTAAGTAGGATTAAAGTTTTTTTTTAAAATCCGAGTGTAAAATGCATTTTTAGTATGGGTGGTGTTAGGATATTTGATTTGACATGTTATTGCTTTATATGTTAAAGTAGATGTTTATGTATAATCACTTTTGGCCCTAGATTTTTTTCTTTCTATTGTTGTAATTCATTCTTTTTTATTGCTCTCTTATCTAGAAAATTTGTAAGTCATACGACACTAGTTATTTATTTATTTATTTTGAGACATGTATTTTGGAGAAGAAAAGCCCATGGTATGAAGTTATTGTTGGAAGAAGAGCATGTAGATGATGTATAAACCAGAAAAACAAAAACATTATAAATCACCAAGTGGAGGCAGCAGCCGCTGCGTCCAGCAACAGCACAGGTTGCTGCCAGCCACAACAACTACTGCTGCTGGACGCGGCAGCAGCTACTGCCTCGTGTTGGTGCAGCTGGAAGCAGCAGTCGTGGCAGTGGCGGTGGGGGTGACGGTCTTTTTGAGGTCGCCGGCGTCGTCACCCGAGGTGATGGTGGAAGTGGTACATATGTGTTTTGCTAGGGTTTGTACAATTGGGGCTCAATTTTTATTTTTTGGGCTTTTCTTGAAAACTTGAGTCAGTCTTTTTGGATAAAGGACTTTCTTGTTTGTAAGATTGGTACTCAAAAATTAAATTGGCCCACACTTGGAAGCATGGATTGGACTACAAGAAAATTGAATAATTGGGTCGGAATGTGGCCCAATAGAATACTTTAATTCTTGTTGTAATTTTCATAATTGAGGTTTCCCTCTCCATTGGTTCTTGATTGAACTTTTGAACTTATCAATTATTTTCAACATTTGTGGTGCTCAAAATCTTAGAACTTATCAAATGATTATGCACCATTTGTGGCATTCGGAAATCGAGGTTCTTGTTTCCGCATATCAACGGGTCTAAGGTTTAATATACCTTAAGTTCTTGATTCGTGAGGCTTAGGTCAAGATTCTACCGTCTACGACTTGAATTTGGGCTTTCTCGACATTTTCGACTAATTCCGCAAGTTCCATGCGATTCCCCTTCCCGGGATCACGTCATTTCATCATCCATAATCACTTATGGTCCATCCTAAGAATTAAAATTACAACAAGAATTAAAGTATTCTATTGGGTCACATTCCGGCTTAATTCTTCAATTTTCTTGTAATCCAATACATGCTTTCAAGTGTGGGTCAATTTAATTTTTGAGTACCAATCTTAAAAACAAGAAAGCCCTATCCAACAAGATTGACCCAAGTTTTCAAGAAAAGCCCAAAAAATAAAAATTGAGCCACAATTGTACAATCCTAACAAAACACATATGTACCACTTCCACCACCATCTCGAGTGACGGCGCCGACGACCTCAAAAAGACCGCCACCGTCGCAGCCATTTGGCGGCTGCTCTAGCAGCTTGTTGCTGCCGCAGAGCTCGCGGCGGTTGCCGCCTCCACTCGGTGGTTTATAATGTTTTTGTTTTTCTAGTTCATACATCGACATGCTCTTCTTCCAACAATAACTTCATACCATGGGTTTTATTCTCCAAAATACATGTCTCAAAATAAATAAAGCCCCAGTGCCTTGCAGTTTACAAATTTTCTAGATAAGAGAGCAATAAAAAAAAATGAATTACAACAATATAAAGCAAAAATTCTAGGGCCAAAATTGATTATGCATAAACATTTACTTTAACATATAAAATAATAACATGTCAAATCAAATATCCTAACACAACCCATATTAAAAATGCATTTTACACTCGGATTTAAAAAAAAAAGAACTTTAATCCTATTCAAGGTTTTCAACCAATGGTATCGTGGCTCTGATACCATTGGTTGGACGTGGAATTTTTTTTTCTTTTTATAGATAATCACGTAAATTTTATAAATAAAAGATAATACACTAGTGCATTATCAAGTTAAACAAGATAGAAACGATAGAAAATTCGACAACCCTTCTATCGGA